TATCATAGAGACAACTGAATGTTCTTTTCTTTTATTGCTTGTACGAGGTTGGTGTGGCAAAGGTTTTGATAGCCAATGTCACTGTTCATCCAGCCGCAGTGAGTTGAACTTTGCGTTTGATCGACTGCTTGACTTGATTGCCACTACGGCTTGTAGTGGACAACGGTACGAGTAAGGATTAGATTATTGCAGTGAATATGTAGACAACCTAAAATATGTATACATTACTACGATAATAATACAATAACAACATAATATAACAACGGCGCCTAGGTACGGAACGATAATAGTATAACATCGATAAGTGAGAATTGATAAGAGTGAACCTTGAACTGCGGAGCTTGGCTAGGCAGTGATCTCCGGGATGCGATTATGCTTGCCCCGGACAAGACACAACACCGAAGGTGAAAACCAGTGGGTGATTATATGCCAGCATGATTAAGGAGATTATCTATATATCGGACTGGAACCCATCCCTGGATGACGGGTCAAACATAACTCATTTGGAGTTGGCCCGCCGCCATCGTCGAGAGCACCGCTTACAATGCGTTGAGCTTCATAAATGGCAGGAAATAATAAGAACGAAAGCAAACGATTGATGATGGAATCAGGGCACCGCAATAAAAGGTGACAAGCGACCGCTCACGCAGCAAATAGGTTATGAAAGTGACCTCCGCCACGATGACGTGACGTCGCAGGCGCGGTTGCGATCCTGAGGGTCCAGCCGCGATGCTTGTTAACGACTTGTCCGTGGGATCGTCCTGCCTTTGGTCAAGAGGAGCAACGCATCCGTGGAATCGTTGCTACAGTTGGCATGTTCTCTTTCGCAAAATTTGATGAATAACGTTTCGGCGACCTCACCTTCGTCATAGCCTACTTAATACTTATAAGGGAGAGATCACCGGCTTATGTGACACACTGTGAGAAATGCGCATTCTGTGCATGTCTTCTGTTCAGTGTGTGAGAGAAATGATTTACACGAACAGTTAGGTGAATAAATCTCCCGACGGCCAGTGCTGTACACTCGATTTCTCGTCATTGGTAAGACATGATTGTCATATAATTCGTTTCGAGTGTTTCTGGAAACTTCGCTCAAAATCATGTAATCTTATGACACATTTATTTATTGCTAATGCTAAAGTTTCAATGGCAACCTGGTGTGGGTGGTGTATGATCAGTAATAACCCATTTACATCACGGGGCACCTATAACGTCAGACACGTTCAATACTACAAACTACTCAATATCAACGTAGTGCGAATTATGGCCAAAGTTCACCGACGGAACGCTCGTGCGGGAATTCCCTGCGGTGATGTCATCCGGGGTTCGATAGCACTCCATCAATCACCCACGCCGTCAGTCGTGGCACCGACTTCTCGCCCATTTCCGCCCCGTTGTTCTCCAGTGCTATGCTACTGGCTTATAATATTCATGGTATCGTTGATGGTGATAATAGCAGTAATTCTGATATTAATAACAGTGAAAGTTATATCAATATTTGTGGTAATAAAAACATTAATTGCTCACAATCAAAGCAGACAAGGCTTTAGCACTAGGCAACAAGCTTCAACAGCGCTTATCATATTGATATCCATTATTTTGATGCTACCGTCTGATCATTTTCCTTTGCATTAAAATACTTAGTACCACTCGTAATTTTTTTTCAATATTCTCATTGTTGAATGTTGAAACATCTCTGTTTATCTTTTCTTAATTTCTCCCTATATTCAATAATTCTGATATGATTCTAGTATAATTGGAATTAACAATAATAGCTCATTCAGTTGCTTTGGTATCACGGTATTCTTTTTCTTTTCTCAAACTTCACACTTCCATGCAAAAGTATTAGTTACTTTATACTTTGAATCACAGCCATACTCCACTGATATACAATAAAGTAGCTTCTCGAAGATGCACATGCCATAACTGAGAACGATTTCGAAAAAATTTGTAACGTTTTATCGATTTTTCTGGCGTTTTTCTGTGAAAGTGCATCGTATGTCGCTTGTCCATTGCCGATTTCGCTGTGGGTTCGATAGTGTCAGGTGAGTGTGTCCTTGAATAATTGACTAAATGAAGCACACCTTGTTTACCTTGGTGTTTTACTCAGACGAACAAAAGCCTTGCAACTTTTCTGATCCATATACGGTAATGAAGTCATGCGCGCAGTCAATCGGTTCGCATAGATTGCACAGTTTTACGGTAAAACTACGATAGATCGATCTTCATTAACATTTTTTTTCGTCGTATTCATTTCGCATGAATGGAATTAATGCAGTCTAGCAGCTATGAATAGCCAATTATGAGAACGGTGTGTTTTCATTTTCATAATAAACGACTTCGTTTGAAAATCGTGCAACGCTTGCATTGTGAAAGCGAGTCACATAAAGTTCCTCGGTCACCCTTCCATTGGCTAACACCTACGTTTCATCGCATCAAAGAATTTTCAACAAAACAATTTTTGAACATCAGCAAATAAACCTTCCTGTTCGAAATATGCACCATTAGAATCAATAAGGTCTTAAATTTTGGTAATTTTGGCATGCCTCAACGATAGAATTTTGGCGTTTATGAAGCAAAATACTCAAATAAGCGTTTTATCACGTCATCGATTTTGGCAAAGGGCTTTCTTGTCAAGGAATGCCGCAGTGATCTGAAGAGATGGTAATCACTTGGAGCAGCGTCTGGGTCACATGAGGGACAAATCAAACGTTCTCACCCTAATTCTTCAAGCTTCTGCAATGTCAGACGAACGATATGTGGGCGATCGTTGTCTTGACGGCGCTTCGATAAAGCTGTGGCAACCGATTTTGACGAAGTTTTGCTTGTACGCTTTGAAGTTGTGAGAAATCTTTGTGTAGTTCGTTGATCAAGCGTCTTCTGGTTAAAAGCGCTACAAAAGCTCTGTGTAGCTTCGGTGCCAGAATGAGCCGACTGTAACGTTCAAGAGACGTTCACGAATCTTAAGTTTTGATACTCTAAAGTAGAGGAAAATTTTGTGCATTTACAAAAAGTAATATTGGGTAAAAAGGATAGAGCTCTCGTTGTTGATCAATCACTGAGGGATGCGCCATGCATTCGTTTTCAATCTTCAACTTTATTTGAGGTGACTGAATGCATATCTGGCCTTCAAAATGACTCGCGGTGGCCTCCTGCTGTTCTGGGTCAGTGATATTTATCCTACCAGAGAAGTCTGAGACCAGATTTGTGAAACAATTCATTGTAGTTTTCAATTATAATATAAATGTTACCACCCAAAAAAATGATAACATTGATGTAGAAACAATAACGATGTTTAGATGAACAGGTGATAACTCGTTAGGTCGTGTGTGAGTCCGGCTGCGACATGGAAAGTTGTCTTTTCTACCTCATGTGGTATGTTTTGTATTGGTCGGCTAAATTTTGTAGATGTTAAGAAGACATTTTCCTCGCGATTTCCTCATTCATGACGGCGACCACTGAGGTGTTAGTGACTTGAGTGATTGGTCGAGTGGCCAGTCACGTTAAATAGGCTGACATCAAACTAATTCAGAATGGAGATGAAACGAAATCAAATGATTTTTCTTACTGAGATGCGTGACAGCTGGCAAATTGCTAATTTCTTTGCTAAGTGCTCGGCCAAAATCTTGACTACTAAAGGTTTTGAACGGTTATTTCTACATTATCATAAGAATATCTAATCCTCATGAGTTTTGGCATTAGAGCACTAAGCACAACTTATTATTCGAAAGTAATCAAAATTTTTGAACAACACTATACAAAGTATACGCTAAAAGCCTGAACACAATTATCACCTCTCGCTCAACAAATCAATACCGCGCTCATAGAACTCGTCATCCTTGGATTCAAAAAAGTTCTCAATCCTCTGTGCAAATTCCCAGAACTTATTCTTGCTCAGGAAGTGCTCCAGCAACGGAAGGAGGTGATGTTCAGACGGCGATAAATCAGGACTGTACGACGGATGATCAAGCAACTCCCAGCGCAGTTGGTATTTGTCAATCTGGCGACCTGCAGCCTTGCGTTGTCTTGAAGCAGGATGAGATTGCAGCGACGTTGATGTTTCCGGCGCGAAACTCAGAAAAAACCGAAACGCTCTTCGCTCCTGGACACAAGTCCTTCGGCTTTTTCACGGTTGCTCCAACGCGGTTCATGCAACAGGTTTCAATTCGTACTCCTAATGCAGCAAATTGCGACGAAGGCTTCGTTGAGCGGCCATGATGCGGTAAGCACAGAAATGTGTTCTGGCTAATGGCACATACTTTGAATAGTGTCGTAAGCATTTTTGATCATTTCAGATTCATAAATTTGGTGTTATTGCTCTAGTGCCGAAACTTATGAGAAGACCCAAGAATAAAAAGTTTTTCACGAACGAATCCGATATATCTGTTGTTGCGCGCCACTCATCATTGTCTTATATTCATTTTTGTTCTAGAGAATATGTTAAGGTTCCAGCCTACCTGTTTTTTGCGCTGGTGACACTAAGCTATTCATTGGAACCATGAAATCTATCAGTTGCATGTTGTTCCAGTGTTTGCTTTTTCCCTTTTTTTAGTGACGATGGATTACTGCAATCTGTTACATTTGTGACAATCAAACGTTGCGTTCTATACGCCGTAGATTTGTGTCAGAGATCGAGATTATGCTATGCATACAAATACGACTTCGCTCCAGTGCCGGTTGATGATGTCAGATCTGCTTATGATCCTGACAATTACTGGTTGTTGCAACAACCAACAAACTATACTTCACCAGAGACCTTGAACACGATCAGATCACCTTTAGTGATCTTTCTATGAGTCCCGAGAGCAATAGATTAGTGAAAAATTGTTCTCGCTGATTTTCTTATCTTTTCTGTCCTTTCATAAACTAAATTTTTTCCTGTTTGAGTATAGAATATAATTTTGTTTCCTATTCGTGAAATGATCATAATATTCGCCATAGGGAGCAAAAGTAGCATAGCAGTTTCAGGTGTGTGTAATGCACAAAGTGTTTTTGCTTTTTGCATCAGCCGGGATCCGAACCCAGATCTCACTTTCCGGGAGCGCGTGCTGAACCATTGCACAACCGAGGCTCGTTTTGCGCTCCACTCTTTCTGCGCTACAACGCGTTATGTGGTAGTTCAGCACGCGCTCTCGGAAAGAGTGAGATCTGTGTTCGAATCCCGGCTGACGCAAATGTTTTTGCACACCACTTTACATTATTGGGTTTGCTGTGAAATCATACCACCGCAAGAGGCGGTCAAATAAATGAATTCCGACTGTATCTGCTCTGACTCGCTCAAGAGCATGTGAAGCTCTACATATCTCCGGCTGCGGAAAACTGGCCCAAATTTGTGTGCAAGGATAAAATGCATTGATTTAGTGCATCTTCAAATCCACGCAACGCATTCTGGAAAGCCAGATGTGTGTTCAATCACATCTGTGATGCTATGGATTGAGTCGGATCAATAGCGCGCAACATTTTTCATAGAGAGAAAATCACGGAATTTCATTCAATGCCGAGCTTAATCATAGTCGGTCTTGGGAAGTGTTTAATATCATTATTATTATGAGTAACAAAGTTTGTTAAGAAATCCGCTAACCTGTGTAGGAATCGTGTTCAAGTTAGAAAACGGTGCTCTACTGCTCCAAATCAGTGAAAAAATGACTTTTGGAGATTTCCTCCGTGATTTTTTTCTTCCGTTCTGGTTCCACTACTTTTACAACATGATAACTTTTTTCAGCTTCAAACCCGACATTGATCATTCTCTGAGGTATGCGTTGTCATGCAATCGATTACCAAGCACGTTAAAGGTGCTTAAATGCATGACTGTCCTCTACAGTGACTTACGGTGTCATACCACTGTATCAGCTCAGTACTGCTATCCCAACAGACAAGTCTGATACCACTTTGCTGACCCCAAAGCGCGGAAGGCCACTGAGCCTTAGGCGCGGGATCGAAAAATTGAACACAAGTGTGTTACAGGGCACTTCTAACGACTGCGCTACACGCTCCTTTCATAAGATAGTAAGCTTTCGGAAGGCTAGGATAAACTAGCGTTTTAAGAAATGTTGTTAAGGTTCTCCTTTGAAGTTTCGCCCATTAGGTCAAAAATTTCATATCTTTTTGTAATTTTCCTTATGTTTGGATAATTTTCAATCTTATGATGAACATGATAATTCACTTTCTTTTCGTTCATTTTTTTTTCTTGGCTCTTTGTCATTTCCACCAAATGAGATCGCGTCTGTTGTTCTCATATGTTGTCTAGCAACCAGTCAGCCGTCTGTCACTCGCTTAACATCACTGCCTGGCTGCCGATTTTCTCTTGTTGGAGTTCCGTCTTATCCACAGCATATCAGCTTTTTCCATGTTATTATTTTAGTGAATTCCACTTTCATTACCTTTGGTTTTCATAAGACTTCATAAGATATAAGACTTCAATCTCAATATCTTTATTGCTTTTCTCTGTTTTCGCTTACCACCATTTTTCCATCACCCTCTATGATCTTTGCGTTCCACTGGTTTTTTCTTCACACAAACCATCTAATTCTCCTAAAATTACTTGCGACTAATTGATAATAAAGGTGCACAAGCGAGGCGTGGTATCGACGCTCCCAAATACCCAGGATGTGAATGATCGGTACCGTTAGGGGCCACCCAAGTCTTTGATCCTTCTAAGGTAACGGAATTGATGGGATTTGCCTGCTACCGACTCATCTTCCTCGTCCACAAAAATTGCTGAGTGGCACAGATTAGTGTCAGAGAGCTTTTGGGTATGGCTTTCTCAATTCCAGAGAGTCACTTGTCTAATATTGCACGATATTCATGAAGGAGGCCAAAAATATTCAAGCGCAGCCAAAACCATTTGCTAATCCAAAGATCTTATTGGATGAAAAGGTTACGAGGAAAACGAGTTCGATGCAAGAAGTGACAAGATGCGTACAATGTTGCGATGTTGAGCCAGTAAAATAAAAAAAAGTTGCTGTTACCTGCTATTATTTGCTGGAAATTCGATTCAGTGAATGTATGCGGACAACTGTCACAATGTGACACGCAGGAGTTTCGCGACGATGAGTCGTCATCGTTTCGTTAATTTGTGTTGGACCGGTTCTTCCAAAGTTCATTTGACAAAATTTTCGGGCGCAAAAACAAGTAGATTAAGATGAATGTCACGTTATTCTGTTGTTCTGCTCTCAAAATCTGGTAGTGTACTTATAAAGGAAAGTTAGTGTGATTTACGATTGCTTAATGTTCGGTGTCATTTGACCATTTTATTCGACAGCGATAAAAACATATTTCTTCGCAAAGAAGTATCTCTGAAGTATGTTTCTTGTCTTCATTACTTTCTTTTCCTGTTCCTTTCCATAGTTATAATCTCAACTTCGTTCTGGTCCACTGAAGATTTAATTTTGAACAGCAGAAGCTGGGAGAAGCAGTTGACGACTGAGAGCAGGTATAATATTGCTATCCTAGTTTTTCCTTGATTAACATGACCTTTGAAACCCAAGCATTTTCGAATTATTTCCAATTAATGAGTCTCAGAACCCACTGTCGTCTGAGTTTCGTGCAAATTGTGCTGGTAAATCGTACTAGCTCCACGACAGCATAGAAAGATTATTAAGAAAGAAATCAAATCACATAAAGATTATCAGATTATATTGTTTTGAGCGAAGTCTCGAAAACAGTCTAGGAAAAAGGTATGACAATATGTGTCTTACCAACCACGAGCAGTCAATTGTACATCATTACCTACTGGGTGATTTTATCACCAAGCGGCAGGTTTTAATATTTCTGTGTCGGTTCCTCTATATAGGAGGTATCTCTCAGCATAACTGACTGAATCGAAAGGCACCGTGCAATTGACGAGACTGTAATGCCGAAACACGTGTCTTGCACTGTATAGGTGCCATGGCAGACCTCATGAAAAGCTTAAAATATGTTATCAGATATATTGTTTTGAGCAAGGTCTCAGTACTAGTCGAAAAGAAATAAGAGGTGTTGAGGAAATTTTCATGTAAATCGCCGAAACTATCTACACCTTTATGTTATGAAATAATTGCAGAAATTTCGTCGAATCAGGTTAAATATCTGCCGCAGCTCAGGGCGAGTCTCCTTGTAAAAGCAAACCGCTTCCCCGCAATGTTTTCTATTTACAAGCACTCTTCCACTCTCTGATTTTATCGCTGCTGACTCTGCTTCACGTGGACAACAAGGACGTGTACCTGTGCTGATACGCAATTGTTTGAAAGCCTTTCTCGCTAAAAACAATTTCCTCATTAGCTTTTTAGTATGTACTCAAAAGCTTGAATCTCGGCAGTTTCAATGCGCTAAATTGACGAAAATGTCTTATTGCGTTGTAGCAGCAAATTTAAAATCATGCTTAAAACTGGGTTCACTTTGTTTGCTCGGCTGGGATCTGTGGCAAGATCTTCCCTAAACTCCTGCTAACTCAAATCTCTACAAATCTAATGCCAAAAAAGATAACAAAGACGTTTTTATGGAGCGCTGTAAGAACAAAGAGAAAATCACGTTTCCTATCCAAAGTAGGGTATCAGTCGCTCAATCTTCGCATAGGGATTAATGACACTTATAAGTAAAGCTTATGTGTGGAAGGCACTTTATCGTTACTGAAATATAGAACATCACAAAGGAAACTCTCATAAAGGTTTTTAGCAGAAAGAAAAACTCCTGTTTCCATGATAAAAACACATCTTTGCAAAGCGAAACTCATCTTCAACTATTATTAAAAATTTCTTTCTCATTTTATCTTGGTTTGTGAAATTATTTCTTGAAAAATACTGGTTTGATCCTATTCTTTTCGAAATGGCGTTCGTAGTGTGTCTTACTAACGAAACGAATTTAACTTTTCGCTTTCGGTGTAGTTAGCCCATTGTTCAAGCTTTACATCGAGTTTTGTTAGTAATTCGATAGTAAAATTTCCATTCAAAGAAAGTTTTTTCGATGCGAAAAGATAGGTTACTATTGAAGGAATTTCTACTAGCTATAATGAGAAAATATCCAATTGATTTGAAAATCCCTACTTTACATGTAAAAGCTACGTCCTTTAACAAAAACGAATTTTCAACTTTTTTTTTCACATTTCCTTCGACGATACTGAGAGGGTGTGGTTCGAAAACACATTTTCTACAGTGTATGACTTTTGAGAAACTCATACGAAAAGGCTTAATTATCAATCCGGAGTAAGCCTTGATAGAGTTCGCATTCATCATTCTGTGGTGTACTATTTCGCCAAGAGTGCATCTTCCTCACCCGAGAATTTGAAACCTTCCTGTGGTAAAAGTTCAGTGGTCTTGTTATTTTGATCTGCTGCCAACTTGTGTCTCGCAACGGACAAGAGCGCAAAGTGCAAATCATTTATATGGGTTATACCAAACAATAGGATGGAGCCAAACAATGGCATGGTCCAAGCAATGTGGTAGAACCAAACAACCTATAATATACATGTATCACTACAACAAGAATACAATTATTATGTATACATGATTACGACGTAGCGTTATGCGAACATATGCCTAAGTCAATATGAGTGATGTATTAATGAGACGTATCGTCATCTGACGATCCTACGAATGTTATCGTAAGCAACAGTATAATGGTAAGTGGTGTTATTGTGGCTGACGGTGTTATTGTAAGTGATGATGTTATTGTAAGTGACCCTGTTATTGTAACCGACGGAGCATGACTAGGCGGCGGAGCCCGTTTGGGTTGTTATGCTCGCCCCGGAATAACAAGCCAACGGTGGGATCCAGTGGGGGAATATATAGTGTGTTAGTAGTGGGGTACTACTGATTAGTGTGGGCAGAATTCCTTAATCGCGCTGGTGGGCCGAGCATAGCCTAAGCGAGTTCGCTCCGCCACGGAAGCGCTATGTTCCCCTCACAATTCTACTGAGTTCATTCAACAATTATATGAAAACAACCTTATGGTAGCAGTTAGATACGCGACAGCGAGACTGTGTGAAGGGAGCAATAATGGATCTATTACGATTTGAGATGAGGTGGTCCGGATGAAGGCAAAAGACCGTTCGGATGATTCCCCGTGATTGAACTGACTGTTGAAGGTGGCAGCTGA